TTTTCTGAATCCCAGGAGGCCCCGAGCCCTAACTCAGGAGCAAAGTTATATTTAAATGTTTTAAATGTACCAACTTTAGCTCCAAATACAAACTGCATAATTTATACACAACCTTCTCAGTGTTGTTGTTGTTGGATGTCATCGAGTTGATGCCAACTCATAGCGAACCCATGTGACCCTATGTGACAGAATAGAACTGCCCCATATGGTTTTCTCAGCTATAATCTTTATGCAAGCAGATCGCCAGATCTTTTCTCCTGCAGAAGAGCCACTGAGTGGGTTCAAACCATCAACCTTTCGGCCGACAGTCAAGCACTTAACCATTTCACCACCAGTGCTTCTCTTTCCAACGTTAACCAAAAGGAAACAAAAAAAACCTAACCATTTGCCACTGAGTCGATTCTAATTCATAGCGACCATATAAGACAGGGTAGGGCTGCTCCATAGGGTTTCCAAGGCTGTAATCTTTAAGGAAGCAGATTGTCAAGTCTTTCTCCTGCAGAGCAGCTAAAGGGTTCAAACTGCCGACCTTATGGTTGGCAGCTGAGTGCTTTAACCACTGCACCACCAGGCTCCTTCCTCCCAATGTTACTGACTAAATAGGATGTCAGACAGTATCAGAAACAAAACATGCCATTGCAAGCATTAACTTCTAGGCTGCAGTCTAGTCAAGGTCTGGCAGCACCTAAATTATTTTCTGGTACACTAAGAACTTTGGAGTGTTTTATAGATTATGTTGAAGGTAAGAGCAAGATTTAAATTCACAGAGGTGTCTTGCTATTCACTCCTGACCCATTAAAACTAAAAGATAAGATTAAAGATTATGGCAGAAGCAAAAATGAAACAAATAATTTAAAAACCATCACAGGGAAGACTATAGCAAAGAATGGAAAGCTCTGGCAAAAGCGTTGCTACTCACTGGCTTTAGACATAGAGCAACACGAAGCAGTAACGAGAAGAGGAATTTACCTTCAGAGTCAAGACTACATTTTCTGGCTGTAGAGTCAAAGCAGTTGAGGAGTTTGTGTAATACAAAGGCAGCGTGCATCGAGAAAGCATAGAACAAGCCACATGAGTGATTAATGGTAACTGAGGACATGAGCATCTCACACAGAGGAAATCAAGTGATAGAAACAGTACGAGAGACCCCAGGAAGGCACATAAAACCCGAGTGTTTATTAGTGAAATGGTGTTTTGGGTACAGCCAAGTTCTGAAATTTACATTTGGATTTCTCTAGAGGCTTTTCATCAGTGTGTTAATCAGTTTTGGAAACAGGAATTATTAGAAGGAAAGTTACAAACGCTTAATACATTCTCCAAGTGATCTTGGTAAACTAGAGACTCAGAGGCTCCTGGAACTCCAGTGCCAAAGGCAAAATCTTCCAAACTGTCCTTTCTAAAATGAAACTCTAATGGTATCATTCCCCTGCTTACTAGCGTTCAATGGATTCCCATAGTTTTTAATCAAAACTTCTGAATGTGGTCCCACATGATCTAATCCCAGCTTCATGTCCCCATTCTTCTCCACCTTTCTGAACTTCTTTTCATCCCCAGAAAGCGTCATGCTCTCTCCCCCTTCCTTGTCCAGTCCTCCATGATGCCTCCTTGTCTAGACGTTATTCCCATCACTCTTTGCCTGACTAAATTCAAGTGTAAGCTTAGACATCACTTCCTCCAGGAAGCCTGTCTTGATAACCAGGTCTGAGCTTGGTGTACTACATCCCTCTTTTCTGCTCCCGTGGAGCCCTGTGCTGGCGCTTCCACAGCACTCAGCCACGTAGAGTCATCGACTCCCATGGGCTATCTCTAAAAAACGCTGCAGCTCCAGAAGGGCAAGACCATGATGCTCACTCCAAGTGCCCAGCATGGAAGCTGGTATACCATAGGTGCTTAATCAAAACTGGATAAACTTATGACCTGGTGGAGTGGTCACCTCTCTCTTAGAGCAAATGATCCCTGAACAGTGGTCCAAAGATGGGGGGCTGGTCAGTGATGAGGATGGACCAACCGACAAGGAAGTGAGAAAAATAAAGATGCAATGAGTTTTCCATAAAGCTAAAGTTGCTCAATTTATAAGACTGTCGTTTTTTTTTTTTTTTTTAGAGGGTGGTGATGGGGATGATACGTGTACAAAGGGAAATAAAGTTGTTATTGTTGTTGTTAAATATCCTTATGTGGCAAAATAAAACTAGGTGGCTCTATATCATTCCTCAGATATTTTTTTTTTTTTTTAATTTCCTGGTCCAGGAAATCCAAAAGTATGTTACCAATAATTTTTTAATGAGGTATCCAAACTGCTGGTGGGAGTGGGCAGTTCAGATACACAATGTTCCCAGGGTCACGTGCAGCATCTTGAAGACCCCTGTCTCCTTTTCTGGGTGTGGGTCCCATAGGCTTATTACCACTGAGGGCTGTTGTTAGCTGCCATGGAGTCAGCCCTGACTCATGGCAACCCCACACACAATGGAATGAAACACTGCCCGGTCTCCTGCGCCACCCT